ACATAAATAATAAAAAAAAAAAGACACTCAGACATAGAGAGGTCCCATAAACAAGATGCGTTGCCAATCATGTAAATAATAAATAAAACCGCGAATCATGAAATAAGTTGCAACATGGCTACCGAAGAAGACATGTAAGTATATTGATCCTAACACTTTATATTATACTAAATAAATTTATACAATTATAACAATATAAATTGAAAATATAAATTTTTAATTATATCTTATCTACATGAAATATATTTTTATATGATATATTTTTTTAGAGACATGAGTGACAATCTCAGCCAAATTGATTTAAACAACAATAGAGAAATAGCAGCTTTAAGGGCCGAAATCAAAAAACTTAAAGAACTAGATAAACTAAATTGGCTTAGAGTCTCCGGGTCCATCGTCGCAGTCGCCGGAACCAGCACCACCGCAACTATCAGGGCCGTCAGAGCCGCAGCCATCGATGCCGCAGCCAAAAAGTAAAACATTAATATATATATATATGATATATATGATACCCAAGACACTACAATTTTTCTGATTAATATCTAATATTATTTAATATTATATTAATATTAAATAATATTAAATTATTATTTAATTTAATATTTAATATTATATAATATTATTTATATAATATAATATTATATAATATTATTTAATAATAAATATTACAGCACGACATTGGCAGAAAAGTCGGCATGCACACGGCGGAAGAGGAAGACGTAACGGTTGTGGCGGACGAGGAGGACGTGGTGGGCACAGAAAACGCGGAAGATAAACAAAATATACATTTATATATACAATTATTAATACGTTGGCTTCGAAACCAATTTCGGTTTTTCATTCGGCAGAGAGTTGAGCGCAAGTTGAGTCATATGGAGCATAAAACAAAAGATGACACACTCGATGCAACTATTCTGTTCCAATCTTTTTCTAAAATTCGGCCAATACATTAACATAAGAAGTAAAAACGTAAAAATAAATAAACGTAACGTAAATTTACGTCGTAACGTTTTGCAATTAAAAAAAATTTATATAATTTACCAAATTTATATAATTTAGACTGCTTTAATAAACTACATTAAAAAAGTATAAAAATATATGTCGTTTTTATATTTTATGAATCACCAATCTTATTTGATAAGTTTGACAGTATCGGCCACGGACTGACAAATGCAATGTCAGGTCCTAGGATCGACGCTAGCCAAACGAAAGACCAGTGTCAGTCCCTAGGGACCGACGCCGGCCAAACGGAAAGATCAGTGTCGGTCCTTAAAGACCGACACCGGAGCCAACGTGTTAATACTGTATTATGTTAAGGTTCCTGATTACTCAGCTACAAACTCCACGTTGACAATAGAGACATACCGTCGCGATGAAAAATGAAGCTCATCCTTGTTCATCTCATCCTTGTCCTTG